AACAAGAGTGAAACTCCGTTCCAAAAAAAAAAAAACATCAATTATTTTAAAAAATCATCTCTCTTTAAAACACCTGCCTTTTAGGCAAGAGCACTTAAGACCTTGGGCAAATCCATTCATTTCCTTTTGCCCAGCTTTCTCATCATTTAATTTAGAATGACAAAAGTCTACCTCTCCCACCCAGGGCTGCTGCTGACTCAGGGGAGACTGAGGAGAGGGGAGCTCTGAGAAGTTGGAGAAACTGGCTCTATACCCTGTGGGGTGGTTGATGGGGTTCAGCTCTGAGGAGGTTCTGTTGAAGTGAAGGTGCTGACCTCACCCTCCTGTCCTGGGACAGGCACTGACTGTTGCCAGCGGCAGGGTCAGACCTGAGGTGGCATTCCCAATGATTCAGCTCAGAAAGTTAAGTTCTCCACACACTGAGAAGCAGAGTACTGATGCTTTCTGCAGATTAAATAGGTATTTGAGGCAAACCCAGTGGTTTAAAGGATTGCCAGTTCACTGAACTGGATAACCTTAAATAATCAAGGAGTTTTTAACTGAACTGATATTTAAAATGCAATCCCCAGTTGCATTTACAAGATGTGTTATCTTCTTAGCTGCTAGTGACACTGGGGGCTTAGAGAAACTCTGGTTTGAATGATTTCATGAAACCTTCCAGGACTTGAAGAGCTGAAAGGGGTGATTGCAGTCATCCATTCAGCCTCCCAATCAGTGCAGAGCCTCCTCCAACATTCTTGTCGGGGAGGATCTGACTACTCTCAGTTCAAAGGACCTCAACAAGAGGGAGCTCAGGGTCCATGCTAAGATACCTTGTCCCATTTGGGACATCTCTTTTGCTCCTAGAGTTTAGAGTGACAGGGGCTCTGGCAGATGTGAAAACTCAGTCCTTGGGCTGCAGAGCCTTGGCCAAAAATACACAAAGAGAGGACCTGGACTGTCTGCCAGTCTACCTTCGGCTTTGAAGAAGAGGACACAGGGTGCATCAGCCTACAGCTGAGAGACGAAGGGAGGGAAGGAGAGACAGAGAAGATGGAAATGGACAAAATGAAGAGAGGAGACAGGAGAGTTTGGGGAGTGAGACAGAACAAGTAAAGAGAGATGGAGAGAAAAGATGAGCAGAGGAAAAGTGGAGGAGTGGGGAACTGGGAGCGCTCCCTGAGGACACTTGTGGAGGAAGGTGCCAGGTGGACTGGCCACTGGCCCTTCCCTTCAGGGTGCCTTACCCCATTTTTGTCGAAGGCTCGGAACATGCCCTCTACATACTGGGAGGCTTCCTCATCTTCCGTGACTTTGAAGAAGCGCTTAAACTCATGCATAAAGAGTGTGCCGCTGGGGCACTCCATCACGAACTTCTTGTACCACTCCTGGAGCTCCGCCACATCTATCTCGCCAGCCGACTCTGCCTCCTCCCAGCTAAACTCCTGCCCCATGTTGGCCCCGAGGAGTGTCAGGGAGCAAGGGTCTGTGTCTCCTCCCCAGCCTCTGCTGATGGATCTCTCCAGCTAGGGCCCTCTTCCTCCCTTCCCAGGAGGCCTGACCAGCTTCTCCATCATCTCCTGGGTGACTGAACATGACCGTCGGTGCAGGAGGCAGGTGGCAAGGGAGGTGGGTCCAAGCCAGCTAAGCCGCTCTAAGACTATTAGAAGATTCCCCGGAAAGACTGGGCATGGTGGCTCATGCCAGTAATCCCAGCACTTTGGGAGGCCGAGGCGGGTAAATCCTGAGGTCAGGAGTTTGAGACCAGCCTGGCCAACATGGTGAAACCCTGCCTTTACTAAAAATACAAAAAATTAGCTGGGCATGGTGGTTGGTGCCTGTAATCCCAGCTACTCAGGAGGCTGAGGCAGGGGAATCACTTGAACCCAGGAGGCAGAGGTCGCAGTGAGCTGAGATCACGCCACTGCATTCCCACTGCATTCCAGCCAGGGCAATAGTGTGAGACTCTCTTTCAAAAAAAAAAGAAGATCCCCGGAGGAAGTTTTGACCTCTAATCTCATCTCTCCCCTTAGCCTTGTCAACAAAGCAACCAAGCTGTCCCTGGCAGACTCTGAAGAGGTAGAAGGGGAAGAAACTGAGGTAAGCAGAGGGACATGGAGTGAAGAAAGACTTGGGGTGCCAGGCTGGGATCCCCCCATCTCACTCACTCCCTGTCTCTTTACCTGGGCCCCACATTGCTCCAGGGAGGCCCATCTTGGAGACAGGAGACTCAAGTCCAGAGAGGAAGTGAGATCAAGTCCTAGGCCATAAAACAGAATTCACTGGTGACGTGGGACTTGCCTCTCCAACTATCTAGTGAGAAGAGGAAGAATCTATAATGGTAAGCAAAAGTGTTCCCAGGCTAACTCAGTCCCTGACACAAGATCTGAAGCTCCTTTTCAGATCATACCTTTGATCTTGGGAGCTTTTCACTTTCTGATTTAAAATACAAATGCCTCCCTCCAACCCTTCACCCAAGACCTAGGGGTAGTGCTTTTCTCACATTTCCTCCAAAATACTAACATGTGAGAAGGATCCGGGAGCATGGCCTAAAATATCTTTGAAGGCTCTTAGTTTTACATTAAAGGTCACATAAATTTGCCTTTGAACTATTACATATTCATGTTTATTTTAATGTAACATAAAAATGACACCTCCAAGAAATCAAAAGACCTGGCACACACATTTTTCTTTGCTTTTTTTTTTTTGAAACAGGGTCTCACTCTGTCACCCAGGCTGGAGTGCAGCGGTGTGATCTCGGCTCACTGCAACTTCTGCCTCCTGGGTTCAAGCAATTCTCATGCCTCAGCCTCCTAAGCAGCTGTGATTACAGGTGCCCATTATGACACCTGGCTAATTTTTGTATTTTTAGTAGAGATGGGGTTTTACCATGTTGGCCAGGCTGGTCTTGAACTTCTGACCTCAAGTGATCCACCCACCTCAGCCTCCCAAAGTGCTGGGATTACAGGCATGAGCCACTGTGCCTGGGCTGGTGTCCTTGGTCTCTTTAGTACCAAAGAGCTTTTCTTCCACTTTACCTAGGACTTCCATTCACTTGTGGTCCCTGAGTCACAAGTGCAGCAACTGGGAGCTTGTTAGAAATGCAAAGTCTCAGGCCCCACCTCAGACCTACTGAATCAGGAACTGTGGGCAGGGCCAGGAGTCTGTGTTTTAACAAGCCCTCCAGGTGCTTCCAATGCATACTGAAGTCTGAGGATCACCGCCATAGACCTGGCTGTCACCAATCTCTGCTACCTCTGAAACATTCTAACGCTGCCTTCTCTTATTAGCACCCCACGTCTTCCATCTGTTACTCTAATACCTTCGCTCCAATAATTCACTAATCTCATTGTGACTTCCAACCTGCTGATCTGTTTTTAACATCTGTCATCTCGCTCATCTCCTCACTCTCCTCCTTATCCTCATTCCTTGGTCCAGCATTCTTTCTATTCTGACTTTTGTGCCCCTCTCTCCCTAACAGCTCACTTGACCTGGCCCTGGTTAGGGCTCTCTGCTAACTATGCACTAACACCTCACCTACACTGGGGAGCCTGGACGCCGTTGGAGGACATTATAAATCACGCTGGCTGCACACACTTCAGATCATGCCAGAGAATCCTGCTACGTACTCTTCCCCGTCTCTGAGGACTATTCTACAGCGTTTTCTGCACTCAGACCTTCCACTCACTCCCACACTGTCACACACTTCACAGAGACAGATGAGGCAGTGACTCATTTTCCCACCAGTGCTTACCAACTTCTCTGTATCTGTGCCCACGTCCTCTGCCCCCTTCCGGTCTCAGTAGAAGCAGCATGCCCTTCCCTTGGTCCCTGTCAGCATTGCCACTTGTTTACAGGTCACATCTCTTTACCCACTCTAAAGCTTCATTCCCGGCCGTGTGCCGCGGGAGCCAGGCGGCATGGGGCCATGGTGGCCTTGCGGGCGGGAAAGAAGAGCCTTCTCCCTCCTCTCTGCCGTGCCTTCGGCAGCCGTGGTTGTCAGCTTGCCCCCGAGCGCGGTGCCAAGCGCAGGGATGCGGCTTCCCGCGGGTAGAGATGGGATTTCACCATGTTGGCCAAGCTGGTCTCGAACTCCTGACTTCAGATGATGCACCCGCCTCAGCCTCCCAAAATGCTGGGATTACAAGCGTGAGCCACTGAGCCCTGCCAGCACCAGCTTTTAATTGAAAAATATTATAGAACTTTAGAGTCAGGAACCATTCTTCTTTCCAAATATACTTTAAAAATCAGCTTTTCAGAAATATCTGCTTTTGGTAAAGAGAAATAAAACTGGACTTTTAAATTCTGAAAAAAATAAAATAAAAATAAAAAAAAATAAAGCTTCATTCCCGCACTTACTCCCTTTGCCTTCTGCAGCCTCCACTCATCACTCTCTAATGGATCATTGCCGTCAGCATTCAGATATGCTATAATATTGCCTTTATTAAAACAAGACAAAATTCCTTCCTTGACTCCACATTCGGGGCTACATTAAGACGTTCACGGGCCCCACACGTTTTTGCCTTCATGGGACACATAATATAAATATTGAAAAAGTATTAAATAAGTAAATATTAATAATTATCACAGGTATAAAAAGGAACATAATCTAGACTGGATGTTTTCTATTCTGATTTTAATTATTATTTTGAGACAGAGTCTTGCTCTGTCACCCAGGCTGGGGTGCAGTGGCATGATCTCTGCTCACTGCAACCTCCATCTCCTGGGTTCAAGTGATTCTTTTGCCTCAGCCTCCTAAGTAGCTGGGATTACAGGATGGTGCCACCATGCTCAGCTAATTTTCTATTTTTAGTAGAGACAGGGTTTCACCATGTTGTTGAGGCTATCTCGAACTCCTGACCTCAAGTGATTCACCCACCTTGGCCTCCCAAAGTGCTGGGATCACAGGCGTGAGTGAGTCACTGCTCCCAGCTCTGATTTTATTTTAATTAACTAATTTATTTATCTTGAGACAGGGTCTCACCCCGGCTGGCGTGCACTGGTGCTATCAGGGCTCACTATAGCCTTGAACTCCTAAGCTCAAGCATTCCTCCTGCCTCAGTTCCCGAGTATGTAGGACTACAGTTGTGCACCACTATGCTTAATTTTTTTAAATTTAGTAGAGACAAGGTCTCACTATGTTTCCCAGTCTTGAACTCCTGGATTCAAGTGATCCTCTTGCCTTGGCCTCTCAAGTGCTGAGATTATAGGCATGAGCCACCACGCTTGGCCTTTATTCTGGTTTTATTTATTTATTTATTTATTTATTTTTGAGACGGAGTTTCACTCTTGTTACCCAGGCTGGAGTGCAATGGCGCGATCTCGGCTCACCGCAACCTCCACCTCCTGGGTTCAGGCAATTCTCCTGCCCCAGCCTCCTGAGTAGCTGGGATTACAGGCACGCTCCACCATGCTCAGCTAATGTTTTCTATTTTTAGTAGAGACGGGGTTTCACCATGTTGACCAGGATGGTCTTGATCTCTTGACCTTGTGATCCACCCGCCTCAGCCTCCCAAAGTGCTGGGATTACAGGCTTGAGCCACCGCGCCCGGCTATTCTGGTTTTAATAGAAATTAGGCACTGTGCCTACTGGGTGAGCTGATCTGCCTACATTAAGCTACTGTCCTAAATTTCACTTCCCTTACAACAAAACCCCTTGTGGCAGACGTATTTTCAGAAATTGAAAGGACAATAGTTCTGGCTTCATTCATTCCTCCCATTAAAGGGAGGAGTCTATTGTTTTTTTTTTTGAGACTGAGTTTCACTCTTGTTGCCCAGGCTGGAGTGCAATGGTGCAATCTTGGCTCACCACAACCTCTGACGCCTGGGTTCAAGCAATTCTCCTGCCTCAGACTCCCAAGTAGCTAGGATTACAGGCATGCACCACTGCACCCTGGCTAATTTTTGTATTTTTAGTAGAGACAAGGTTCCTCCATGTTGGTCAGGCTGGTCTCAAACTCCCAACCTCAGGTGATCTGCCTGCTTCAGCCTCCCAAAGTGCTGGGATTACAGATGCGAGCCACTGTGCCCAGCCTGGGAGGGGTCTATTTATCTTTCTCTTCAACCTGGAGGAAACTTTCTGGCTGCCTTGTTGAAGATAATTGCAGAAATGACACAATGTGACTTCCAGGGCTAGGTCATCAAAAGTCATAGGCTTCCACCAGGCTCTCTTTCTCAGAACTTGCCCTTGAAACCCATGTTGTGAGGAAGCCCAGAACACATGCAGAGGTTCTGGCTGAAAGCCAGTCTCAGCCACCAGACATGGGTGATGAGCCTTCAGATGACTCCAGCCCCAGCTTTTGAGCTACCCCAGCTGACATCACATGGAGCAAACACTATCCCTGCAGAGTCACTGTTTTAAGCTACTAAATGTTAAGTGTTTTTTGAGGTAGCAATAGACAACTGGAACATTCTCAAACCTATTTTGCATCCTCTTCTTAGTATCTCCTCAGCTTACTCCAACTGGATGTTTATCCCCATCATTCCACAGAAAAGGCTTTTATTGTGGTCACCAATGATCTACTTTTTTAACTTAACCTGTCAAGATCCATCAGTTCACCAAACTAAATCCTTTCTGCAAACACTCTAGGTTTCAGGGACCCATACTCTGATTTCACTCCAAACTCACT